CTCTCTCTCTCTCTCTCTCTCTCTCTCTCTCTCTCAAATGAAGCATTGCCTCGCCTCGCCTCTTTCTTCTTGCTTAAATCAGATCTGAGTGGCTTTTGTTCTTGGAATAGGTGGAAGCTAAGCCGGCGATGGGTGTGTAGAGGGAGGGGAAGTGAGTTGTTGTCCACTGATTTGGGAGGGGCTGGAGCGAAGAGGGCCAGCAACGACGTTATCGGAGGAGTAGTGACGGCGTGTGGGCGACGGACAGGGATCTCAACAGAGGTGGTGAGCGACAGAGAAGAGTAGTTGTGATGGGCGGTGGCTTCACAGAGGTCGTCACTGGAGATGGGTGAGCTCTGGCGATGAGTTTGGTGGGGGGAGGGGGGATTCGGCAGCCATGGTAGGGATGGGAAAGCTTCAGCGATGAGTTTGATGGGGGGTTGTTCGGCATCTATGGCGGTGATGGGGGAACTCCAGCGACGAGCTTGGACAGTGGCTATGATGGAGGTGCTCGGCAACTATGACATGGAGGAGGAGATGCTTAGTGGTGGTAAGGAGCATTTGAAAGAGTAATGATAAATGTATTCGCCAATAATATGAGTCACAGATGCGTGATGTAAGCTTGAATTATGCCATGAATCTGGCCTCGTTCACTTCGCAGATTCATTTCAATTCGAGTTGAGATGTGACATTTTCTGAGAGCTTTTCACTGTAGTAGAAAAAGTTAGATGTGACATTTTCTGAGTGCTTTTTACTGTAGAAACCTAAAACTAAAAACTCGAATCGGTGAAATGAACGAGGCTAGTAATTTGGGATTGAATAAAAGTTATTCTTTGAGTGCTTTCTAAGTTCCAAGTATTCAACAGCATGAAATACTTAAGATTGTTTATTTCAATTTTAAATTTTTAATATCCGAAGACTTCTTTAGTGTTTCAAATTTGTAACATTGGAAAGAAAATCCAATGACCAAATAGAGTACACATGCGAATACATATGTTTCTTGTGTTTCCCTCTGTTTTCATTGTATTCAAAGTGATAAAATCAAGAAATGGTTCTATCCTGCTCTTTCAGCAACACTCTAATCAAAATAATTAACAAAATGGCCCTTTTAACTACCTGCCGTGTCCAGTCTTGTCAGGAACAAAATCAGAAATACAAAATTAATAACTATCAACAAAATAAAGTCGTAGGAATTGTGACCTAGAATCTGTTTTTGTCAGGTTCTTAATTGTCTCCAGAGAGTCGTTGACATTCTATGGACATAAACACATTCTTCATTAAGCAAACTCTAGGCCAGAATATGTCACTGTAATTTTATATTTGTTTGCTTTTTTCTCTAGAGTAACAATAAAGTATCAAGTTGCTTTTATTAAATGTTGAACATTGACTGACTAGGATATTTGAAAAAGCATATTATATGAAACATCAGTATCTTCATGAAAAAGGCAATTATTGAATTTGAAAGACAATTAGTTAGTAGCTCACTGGCTACAAGAAGTTGACACCACACCTTACACATTAAATAAAAACCTCCCATGATTACGACTCTGATAAGGTTTCTCAAAAATGAAATGATCAACAAGTTCTTCAAAGCTATAACAATTCATTGCATGTGACTGGAGAAAAGAAAAGGAGAGTAGAATAATTCTTGGTCCTGTACTCCAATTAATTTTCAAACGTAGATTAACGGCTAGGCAAAGGAAAAAGGAAACAGGAAACAAGAGAAGGCAAAGTAAAAGAAGACGTTTTGTAGTTGATTTATTCACAACTTGAATTCATCGATAAATTTATCAAAAAAAAAAAAAAAAAAAAAATCGATGTAATTTGAATATTGAGACATATCTCTTATACAAAAATGAGTTTGCCAGCAAATTTGGCTTTTCCCTCGCTTCCCTGAGTGAGGTCAATTATAAGCATATACAGGAGTTTCCCTGAAAGGAATATGACTGATTCTATTTCAATGGTCTGCAAAGGGTGTGTATAAAATGTTGTATGATTCTTATAATTATGGATCTGCGCCTATCGCAGCAAGAAAAAGCACCAAAAAGAGCTTACTTCTGGCTTCGTTCAACCTTGGATCGAATCTTCTCTTCCAACACAGATGTTTCTGTTTGAAGATCGAACATTCTGTTTAGAGCACGCATGTTCTCTAGTATCTCATTCATACTACGACTGTCGCTCCCATCACACCGAAGGTGCTCCATTGGACCACGGAGGAGCTTGTTCACTATGGCCATGCTAAGATCATAAATAGCTTGCTTTTCCTTCTTAGAGATATTGTCGCCCATTTTTGACAAACACTTCTCCACTTCGGCAGCCCTGATCCTTTCAACGTAAGCTCTAAACTTCTTGATGGTGGGAACAGCTTCTTGGGAATCTTTCCAGGCTTCATATTTGCTCACTTGCTCTTTGATAATCACTTGAGCTTCCTGAGCTTTCCGCAGCCTATTTTCCATGTTTGCTGACACAACTTCTTTTAAATCATCCACATTATATACACTCGCAGTCTCAAGATCCATGACGGATGAATCCACACTCCGAGGAACTGAAATATCAAAAAATAGCCGTCTTCGAATTTCTGGACGAACAGGGGGAAGCATTTGTACTTGTTCTTTTGAGAATAAGGGAGTTTCTGATGCAGTACTGGTGAAAATGACATCAGCTTCAGCAGCACTAGGAAAAATTTGCGAAAAGGGTTTGTAGATAATTTCAACAGTTTTGAACTCTTCACAGATAGCAGTAACTCTCTCTTCACTCCTGTTTACCACCACCATTTTCTCACATCCTTTTGCTATCAAGTGTTTGATCAAGAGTTTCCCCATCTTGCCTGCTCCAATCACCAACACTCTGGCATTGGAAAAAGAAGGTTCTTGAAGCTTCATTAAGGCTAGCTCCACAGCTGCTGAACTCACAGAAACTGATCCCAAGGCAATATTGGTTTCAGATCTAACCCGCTTCCCTGCAGTGATTGCATTCTTAAACAGTCCACCAATTCTCTTACCGAAGCCAGAAACTCCCTGTCCAACTTTTACAACTTGTTTGACCTGCGCAAGAATTTGACCCTCCCCTAAGACAAGAGAGTCTAGTCCAGAAGCTACTTCAAACAAGTGCTGTGTAGCATCTTTGTTATACAGCAAAAACCGGTGCTTACAAAGCTCAGGTTCAGGAACTCCACTTGTCTGCCAACACAAAAGTCTATATTAGCTAAGAATTCTTAATGGCTGTGATCCATTCTGTTGAGTTTCTAACAAATAAGTTTTCAAAAGAACCAATAGCAAAAGCACCATAAGAAGGCAATACACACCTTTGACATCCACTCAGTGACTTCTTTGACCCCACGAATTTGAGACAGAGCCAGAACATATATTTCTACACGGTTACATGTGCTAAGAACAGCAGCTTCCTCTATATGGTTCAAAGCACAAAGTTCACTTATGGCTTGAGGCCACTGTGCTTCTGGGATGTTAAATTTCTCGCGTAACTCAACTGGGGCTGTGCGAACATTGAGTCCCATGACAAAAATGTTGCTCTTTTCTTTCGTGTATCCTGAGTACCCAGACATTAAAAAAGAAAGACTATTTGGAAGGTTACTTAGCCAAAAGACCAACATATTGAGATTATTTGAAATGCAGATGGTCGGAATACATTCAAAAAATCCAAAAGTCTCCCACATTTTTGTAAATTTGCATCAAGTAATGTATATATGATATCTGACCAAAACTCCCGCGCTTAGTTTTCTCTCAAAGGAAAGAAAAAACAATAAAAAAAAAGTTTCTTACTTCCGTATAGTATCTTCAATTAGCACGTATTTTAAAGAATTAATTTTCCCACTAGTTTTCAGAATGGTTAGTTAACTCAAAGCCTACTAATTACAAAATTATAAGGCTGAAAAATTCGGTGGATTAAAGAGTCAAGAAAAATCACAAGTTGGAAAAGAACATTTTGGAACATTATGCAAATCCGTGATGCTGCAGATTCTTTTCATCGCTGCTAAGCAAAACATAAGAAACTTCGAAATGCAAATTAATAACACAGCACCACAAGAATCACCAAACAAAACCAGGACTACTCACTTTCAGCAGCGGTGGACGTCTTGAGCATTTCGAGAGCGGAAACAGCGAGAGCCATGGGATCCCCCTCATTGCTCGGCACCGAATCCCCAGAAGCGTTCGAACACCTAGGGTTCAACGAAACTCCTCTTCCAGAGACGAATCTCTTGAATTTCAAAGGTTGGTAGCCAAATCGGATCTGCGAACGCGAGGCCGTGGAGGAATAGGATGTTGACGGCTCGGCGATCGGGCAGGGGAGGACCGTCGCGAAGCCATTGGCAGACGCCGCCGCCATTGAAGAGGTCCGAGCTTGAGGGTTTGGAAATGGAGATTGGAGATGAAGGAAAGAGGGAATTAGAGTTTGGTGAGAAAGTGAAGAGAAGGATATTTATATTCAAAACTTTCGGTTGGGAAATTGGTGCGAAATGGCTGACGTTATTGGCAAAATAGTAGGGACATACACGTGGTTTTGGTGTACTAGTATTTGCTAATTTGACAAAAAAGGGAATCTGTGAGAACTTGAAAAAGTCAAATGTGAATGGTCGGTCAGCGGTTGTGGCTTCCACACGCGCTTTTAAGTATTACCTCCTGCCCGGCCAAAGAGTTGTTGAATGGAGGGTAAAAGGAATCACTCTGAATCTGACTATCTGATCATACTTAATCTTATTCTATTCAAAAAATAGGGTTTTATTTTTCAGTTTAAATTTAGTCCAACCCGTAATGGGCGGGTAGGGTTGCGGGTCTAAGCTCCATTACCCCCGATTAATCTTATTCGATCGAAATAACCATCTGCACTTAAAAAAAATCATACATGTCCTCAATCCTCACCTACCTTTCTCATTTCTCATTTCTATGCGCCGCCCCTGCCTCTCTGCCTCTCTCAAATCTGATATGAGTCTCACTTCTTTTATGTTTCTTCTTCTTCTCACTTCCTCCGCCGTTCATCTTCTTCTTCTCACTTCCTCCGCCGTTCCTCTGCCCTTCCTCTTCTTCTTCTCAGACTCTATCTCGCGGTTTCGAGCAATCAGTCTCCAAGATTTTACGCCAAGATTTTCTACCGTCAAGAATCAAGATTAAGCTACTTTGAGGTTGGGATTTTGTAACATTTCTGTAATAAGTCGAAAACTTTTTTCTTTATTAGATGATTTTCATTTGATTTTCTTTTTCTGTTTGTGAAATCTTT